ATTTTAAATCTTCTAATATTATTTAACAAAGAAAATATAGCACACCTCTGTACATTTTTTTAAAGTCCTGAACAATCGTTATTAGTAACACAGCATTTCAACTTAATGCCACAGGCAACCCATAAATATAACCAACTAACTAAAGAATACATCTCAAAAATTCATTAGCAAGTCAATTATGTGAAACTCAGAGCACATTTTCCTAAACACATGGTCTTATTGTTGGTGGATAGATTCCTAGACCAACACTCTGCTACCCCTTACAACTCATCTTAATGTACAGCATGGAGATTAGGCCTCATCCCAGCATGTAGAGACATAAATGTAAAACTCATACCACCTTAATGAGATAATGAGATATTCATCAGCCTAAGAAGAAGGTAGAGAGAGGAGTCTTTTTCTTGTCCACAAGAGTTCAATATGTCAGTAAAATGCCTTCAAGAATTGTACAATTCAAATGCAATCCCATCAAAGCTGGCCATTTTCAGGCACAGGATGAGGGCCAAGTACCATCTGGGCACATCATGGATATTTTATTCGGAAGTGCTGGAGTTCTTCAGTTAACTAAGAAGCTACGCTTTAGTTGTGATGGTTTCCAGTTGTGATGGTTAGCATTTTATCAACTTGATTAGATTGAAGGATGCAAAGTATTGTTCCTGAGTGTGTCTGTGAGGGTGTTGTCAAAGGAAGTTAACATTCAAGTCAGTGGACTGGGAGAAGCAGACGCACCCTCAATCTGGATGTGCACCCTCCAATCAGCTGCCAGCACAGCTAGGATAAAAGCAGGCAGAGGAACATGGAAGAGCCAGACTGGCAAAGTCTTCTGGCTTCCATCTTTTTCCTGTGCTGGATGCCTCCTGTGTTTAAACATCAGATTCCAAGTTCTTCGGCTTTTGTACTCTTGGACCTACCCCAGTGGTTTGCCAGGGGCTCTTGGGCCTTCGGCCACAGACTGAAGGCTGCACTTTTGGCTTCCCTGCTTTTGAGGTTTTGGGACTCCGACTGGCTCCCTTGCTCCTCAGCTTGCAGACGACCTATTGTGGGACTTCACCTTGTGATCATGGAGTCAATACTCCTTAATAAATTTCCTTTCATATATGCATCTATCCTATTAGTCCTATCCCTCTGGAGAACCCCAACTAAATACCAGTCCTTCAGAAGCCCCTAAGTCAGGATCCTGAGCCCCATAGCATAGTCAAAACAAGTCCCATCATTAATCAGATGGGTGATCTCAATGTATTCTCTCCTATAAAATGGGTATACTATTGGCTACCTTTTAAGAGATATATGAAATAATGAAAGTAGTGCTATTAATACAGAGCTTGGCACAAAATAAATCATAATAATGACTATGGTGATAGTAATGACAAAGACTTTTGAGATTTAGGCCCCAAATCATCATATTATTCAATTCCTAAGAAAGGCCTTTAAAAAAGTAAGAAAAATTAAAAATAAAAATTAAAAAATAGAAAGGCCTAAGAAGTTGTTTCTCGTCTCAAGTATGTGTTCACCTTCTATCGATTGAGAAAATGCATGCTGAGTGTATTGGTTTCCTGACACTGCCATCGTGATATACTGGGTGGCTTAAACCACAGGAGTTCATTATCTCACGGTTGTGGAAGCAGGAGGTCTGATGTCAAGGTATTAACACTGTTGGTTTCTTCTGAGGGCAGTGAAGGAGAATCTGTTCCCTGTCCTTCTCCTAGTTTCTGGTAGCCTCAGGCATTCCTTGGCTTGTAGATGGCGTTCTTGCTGCATCTTCACCTCATCCTCCCTCTGTACCTGTGTGTCTCTCTGACCAAATTTTCCAGTTTTATAAGAAATACATCATATCGGATTAGGACCCAACCTAATGGCCGCACCTTGACTTGATCATCTGCAAGACCCTGTTTTCAAATAAGGTCACATTCATTGCTAGTGGGAGTTAGGATTTCAACATCTTTTTAGATGACACAATTCAACATGAAACAATAAGTGAAAATTTTCACTAAGCATCTCCCAGTGAAATATTGGGACAGGCTTCAGGAAGGGGAGGGAGAGAACGTCTCAGTGTCTCTAGGTCCATGGCAGAAGAAATGGGGGCTCCAGCCTAGCCACTGCCATCTCCGAGAGGAGGAGCTCTGAGAATGCCCAGGGTAATGATGATAAACTCAGGAATCATCTTTCTCAAAAGTAAAGCAAATCATCCATTTTACCCAAGTAGATATCCAAGTGCCAGCCTCACCTTTTCTTTTTCAGAGTTTTTCTTGTTTCAGATCATTAGCTTGTCTCCCTTCCTGAGCAACAAAAGCATCTTAAGAAATTAGTTGTTCTTTCTGGCTGTTAGGATCCTGAACAAATCATCGTATTATTCAATTCCTAACAATGGGTTTCCAACACCTGGGATTTCATCAGTTTTTCAAAACTCCTCAAAGAGAAATGAATTACATGTCCAGTTAAATGTTTAAAACAAGCACATATGTCTCATAGCACTTTTGGAGGATGAGGTCATCAAATCTAACAAATGACATGAGGGTGTCCCAGTTCTCCCAAGTTGGGAATCAAGGCACTAAATAGCACGTCTGACCTCTGGAAGGAAAACCAACTCCCCCTGCTGACTCATTTACAAGCAGGAAGTAATTTTTCCATTGGGAGACTGTGTATCAACAGAGTGAGTTCTTGGTGTTCTCCCAAGGTTGTAGTGAACCAGGCAGGGGGTGATCTGGGCTCACTCTTCCCATGGGCAGAACACTGCCCAAGTTCCCACAGGGGGTCTACAGTGGGAGGGTTCTTTTGAAATAAAGCCACTCAATTATTCAAGATAATGCTTCAACTCTCAAAACATCACAAGGAGCTAGTCTCATGCAATATTTTAACAGACAAAAGTTCAGGTTTAGGGGGTTTTTTGAGACAGAGTTGCACTCTGTTGCCCGGGCCTGAGCCCAATGGCTCGATCTCGGCTCACTCCAACCTCTGCCTCCTGGGTTCAAGGGATTTCTTCTGCCTCAACCTCTCAAGTGGCTAAGATTACAGGTGTGCACCAGCATGCCTGGCTAATTTTTGCATTTTTAGTAGAAATGGGGTTTCACCATGTTGGCCAGACTAGTCTTAAACTCCTGACCTCAAATGATCCACCTGCGTTGGCCTCCCAAAGTGTTGGGATTACAGGTGTGAGACACCGTCCCAGGCCAAAAGCTGAGGTTTCTAACATTCCAGTGGATAAAAAACTGTGAGCAATTGTCCAACAATACTAAGACAAAAAGAGGGTCTTTTGCCTGGGTCTTCTCCCCTCTGGCCCCTCTGGCTACTTGCTCTTCAGGTTCAGCTGAAATGCTTTTTGTTTGTTCGTTTGTAGAGACCCATTCCCTGACCATCCTCATCTTCATTAATCTTCATTACACTATCCTAGCTATTTCCTTCATATTTCTACTATCTGTCCATTACATTTTATATGTTTGATCCTTCTTGTTCATCCAAATAGAAGCTTCAGAAGACCAAGAGCCTTGTCCATCCTCTTCTCTGCTTCAGCCCCCATTCTGATACTGTGCCTGGCACGGAGTAGATGCCCAATAAAATATGTGTCAAATGATCAACGTTCTAAATGACAAGCAGGTGAACCTTTAATCCTCAGAGCCCCACTGACTGGTGTGCAAGGTGTGGTACATACTGTAGGTTGGATGGAGCAATAAAAGATTGACCTGCAAAATATTACCTTCTTGAATATTCACTCTGGCCTGCACAAACAGAAGGCGCCCTTGGGAGTTATCCTGCAACGCTGATTTAGTAGAATCATTGGCACTTGTGTAAAATTTTGGAGAATAATGTCCTAAGCACAGATGCTATTTTTAAGAACTTAACACCGGGAAAAACCTTCTGGGACTAACTCTGTGGGAATGAGGCCCTTTTTATGTCATGGGTGATGTATGAACTGATGGCTCATGAAAGGTGAAGCTCAGACTAAGTTATCGGACTTTTTCCTTTTGAGTTATAGCACAGCAAGCCGACTTGACCGATTACAGTAACTGACGAGAGTGAGCAGTCTGTAGGCTTGTTTATATTATCAAAGAGAAGTGACAATATGGCCCAATTTAGTGCCTACAACCTAGCATAACTAAACAAATTATCTTTCCAGCCCAAGTCAAAGCTCATCTAAGGAGAGCTGGATTTATGGGAAACAAATGCCCAAGAGAGTCGGTCAGTCTGTGGTGCTTGTTTTGGGACAAATTACTTTAAAAGGCACGAATTAGGACCCTCTCGAAACTAAATAAGAAGAAATTAAATGGCGCAACTAGGTTTCTGGCATCTGGTGCTCGTGAATGTTGGGCAAGGCCGTTTGTAGTAGTAAGGGAAGTTCATGGGGTCACACAGCACCACCAAACCAGTCACCAGCTCACAGAGGCAGGGAGACTCCATCACTCAGAGTCCAGGAGGGCTTCTGGTCAGCCGTGGACTTTTAATAACAACATCCATCAACGAGTAAAGGGTTTCAAGGACAAAGGTCTTCTAGAAAAGGCAAGTTTGCCTGTTCTGTGGGCAGGTCCAGAGATGGGGTTCCCTGACACAGAGGGGCCAAAGACACAGGACTTCCTCCCCTGAGCGCAAAGACAAATACTTGGAGAAAGAAACTGAACAGAAGATTTACATCTTTTTTACTGTTACAACTTCTGTGTTAGAGAAAGTGGGACAAGTTCCAAGGAAATCTGCCTCCCATCCTTTTGCGGAAATAAATTGTGCTCCAAATGGAGTGGCGTTTCTGCATCTCACAGAACAATGTTTCTTAGCCTTTGTGGGGGAGGGAGGGTCGTGGAGCCTTGTGAGTGTGTGGACCCTCTAACGGAGGAAATGTAACACCATTTCAGGGGTGTCATACACCCCATTTAAAACTCATTCAGGGACTCACTAGAGAGCTTTGTATTCTTTGAATAAAAGTGGCTCACTGTTGAGTCAGAACTGGTGGATGTTGTCAAGAAGTGATTTTAGAGAGAGAAAGATGGGAGAGAAGGGAAGAGAGACTTTCCTGGAAGAAAACTCTGTCCTCAAAACCTAGCCCTGCCAAGTCATGTTATAAAGGTTAAGTATATGTAAATGACATGTAGGCATGAGTTTAACAAAGGGGAAACTGGAAAAGTTCCCCCACTCTTTGGCTACTAGAGTGATTCTCCAATGAGGCCCAGTCACTGTCATGCCCCTCCCTCCTTCTGTAACTGTAAGTGATTTAACAAAGCTTATGGCTAAAAATAATAGCAATAAAGGGCCCAGTGAACACTGGGATAGATGTTTTTCTGTTGCAGACCTAGGGAGATGAGTATCATGGCTACTGTCTGACACATAAAGCGATAGCCTGTAAGGTTAGAGAAAGCTAGCTTTATTTTAACACCCTCTACATTCACGAGTTCATACAAATTTGACAGTCCTAAGAGATGTGTGTCAAAATTCCAATTTTATTAGTGAAAAAGCTGAATTGAGAAAGCTTAGGTGATTTTCCAAGGTCACCAGTAAGTGACAGAGGTAAGAGTTGAACCCAGAGCTGACTGACTCCTAAGTCCCTGACCTTTCAGCTGCACCATGAAGCCAGGGAGCTCATCTTCAGCAATCAAGGGAATGTGCCCATCCCAGAGCACACCTCCTGATTCCCAGTCTCTGTATGGTGCATCCTCCGGAAAATCTTAGTCAATGATTGGACCCATGCAGATGGGCTATATATTACCTCCTGCAGCCTCTATAAACACTCCATGAGAAGGTCTTATCTGGTTCATTCTGCAGACAAGGAAACTCGGCTTGGAGAGATAAATGACTTACCCAAGGTCACACAGCTGAGTCTCTGGCTCCAAAACTTGCGGTTGTTTTTTTTGTTTGTTTTTTGTTTTCCATTATGTAAGTTTCCTTTTGCAAGAAATTGAGGAATTCTTTCAAGAAGCCCATCTCATATTTGCCATCTCTGGGGATTCATGTTTTGGGTTGGTGCTAATCCTCACACCAGGCATCCCTGTAGATAAATCCACCAGCTCCAAGATGCTTAGGTCTTTGCTCCCCGAAAGCGTGACCAGAGTAGACCATGCCTGGCACCCTTTTACTCAGAAGGAGGACTTAGAGTGTGCTGAGCCTCAGAAAAGCAAGCGAGCCTTCGGTGCTCAAGCTGCAGCTGCTTTTGCAATGCTCTGTGCATCTGTCAGGTGACACCAGAAGTTGCAGCTCTGAAAGCTGGAGCAACAGAAGGACCTTCTGTTGGACTTCCCATGTCTTCCCTCCATATTCTATCTCATGGTAAACATGGAGGGACAGCAGAGCATGACGGTTAGAACTGACTTAACACAGATTGCCTGGCAACACCCCTTCCTTCCAGCCTGCGTCACCTGGGCCAAGTTACTCAACCTCTCTGTGGCTCAGCTTCCTTATCTATATAATGAAATAGATAGCGCAGAAGGTTGATAAGATAATTATAGGAGTTAAAATACGTAAAACACCAAGAAAAGGTCTGTCCCATAGCTAGTGTTGGTTGGTTAAGTAAAAATGCATAAAGCTGGCAACAGGCTGCTCGGGCAGTGTGGATATCTCTTACTCTCTGAGCGCGTCAATCTGTGGTCAAGAACTCTCTTCAGTCCTACAGATTTCCAAAAGGCGTAAACCTAATCTAGACCTTGGCACCTGCCGGGACAGGGGCTGCATGCGGAGGTCCTTGGGTCTCCTGAAATGCAGCCCAGGAGAAGCCTACCTTTCCTATGGGCCAAGCAGTTGACACACATCTCAGCCTGGTGGTGTGTTCTAAGAGGTGGTTTCATTCCAAACACCCCTTCATCCTAAGCCCCACAATGGCCATCCTATTTCAAGGGAAAAGTGAGGAGACTGAAACCCTGACAGCCTTTAAGCCTGAGATTTCCAGGGCTGCCTGAGAGCCGCGAGTTGTAAGTGCCTCTGGGAAGGCTACAGGCCTGGCCTTTCACCGAAGCCCGTCCCCTCGGTGCATCTGTTTGCTGTCCCACTGACCAGGCTTATCCCAGGCTGGATCATGACACCCACTGGGAGACCTCCAATGAGCATTTCCACACTTTTGCAGGGAAAGGTTACTGCCTTAGATTAACAACCTCTCATTACCCTCCCACCTCACCAGGCTCAAAAACTGCTCTGCTGTGGAGTCTGGAGTCTGTGGGGCCTGAGCTGGTTCCAACAGCACTGAAACCCAGGCGGGAAAAGACAGCTGGCCATTTTGAGAATAGGCATAGGGCTTGAGACGAATACTTGTTTCAAGGTGAGTTTGACACCAGCCACCAGCGCCCAAACTAAATCTTCTCAGGCATGGCCCCAGATTTGTTTTGTTTTTGTTTTTGAGATGGAGTCTGGTTCTGTCGCCTAGGCTGGAGTGCAGTGGCACAATCTCAGCTCACTGCAACCTCTGCCTCCTGGGTTCAAGTGATTCTCCTGCTTCAGCCTCCTGAGTAGCTGAGATTAAAGAGCGCCCCACCACACCTGGCTGATTTTGCATTTTTAGTAGAGACAGAGTTTCACCGTGTTGGCCAGGCTGATCTCTAACTGCTGACCTCGTGATCTGCCTGCCTTGGCTTCCCAAAGTGCTGGAATTACAGGCGTGAGCCACAGTGCCCAGGCCCAGATTTGTGTACGACCTCTGAGCAACCTATTCACAGAAGAAAAACACAGGAGGAGTTACTACTTCTATAACGCCCAGGCCTCCAAGAGCTCTTCTGCAGGTCCTTCCTTCCTTTGTTCCTTCCTTCCTTCTGTCCCTCCTTCTTCCTTCCTTCCCTTCTTCCTTCCTTCCCTTCTTCTTCCTTCCTTCCTTCCTTCCTTCCTTCCTTCCTTCCCTTTCTCTCTCCTTTTAATCCCAAGCACGGCAATGTATTTGTAAAAATAAAATTCTGGAAAAGTAGAGCAAAGAGGTGAGTTTTGAAGGGGAGAAATATTGCCACTGGCATGTGCAGCGACAGCCAGACCATGGGCACAGACAGAAAGAAGTTGTGAACAAGGTCAGCCAACATCAGCCAGTCCTGTGCGGTTCACTGAGGTTGTCACGCAGCCTGCCAACAAGATTGCACAGGGAGGTTTTACCACACTGCTATCTTCTCTCCACTTGATTCTTGGCTCTGATTACAAAACACAGGCAGTGATGGGCTGGGCACCCATGGGACAGCCACTTAGAATTCCCTCACTCATCTCTCTAAATAAAGAGTTTGAGAAAAATAAAGTAGCACAAAAACCCCCACAGGCATTTCATCAGCTCTTCCCTCTCAGCAATTTCCCTTTGGTTCCATTTTTTTTCCTTTATTACTCTTTTTTAGTTTATGGTGTCTTCCAAATACTAAGCATTGCTTTGCTCCTATGAAGTTCAAACACAAAGGTAAGCTTTTATTTTCCTAAGAAGACGTACCGACGAAAAGCTTGACGGTCCGAATTAAACGTCCAGACAAGATTCCAAACCATCCCTTAATTCTTGGTCTCTACAGATCTAACTTGGCAAACTATCCATTGGGAAAGCATTCACTCATGCTGTCAGTCACTTATTCAGCAGGTAGTTAGTGAATATCTGCTGTGCGTCAGGCACTGTCTAGGTTCTGGAGGCACAATGTCTGCTTTTCTGAGACAATGACAGAAACATTCTGGGAATATACATTTAAAAAGTTATGGGCAGGCGTGGTGGCTCATGCCTGTAATCCCAGCACTTTGGGGTGCCGAGTCGGGTGGATCACTAGGTCCAGAGATTGAGACCAGCCTGCTAACATGGTTAAATCCCATCTCTACTAAAAATACAAAAAATTAGCCGGGCATGGTGGCATGTGCCTGTAACCCCAGCTACTCAGAAGGCTGAGGCAGGAGAATCGCTTGAACCCAGAAGCCGGAGATTGCAGTGAGCCAAGATCATGCCACTGTACTCCAGCCTGGGCAACAGAGTGAGACTCCATCTCAAAAAAAAAAAAAAGTTATGATAACACATAGGAAAGATTCCTATTTTTGTGTTGGGGAGGATTCCAGATTGAAGTATTGTTCCTAATTCTTGACCCTTCCCTGCATTTATACCTTTGTCATGGCTTCATCATGGCTTTGAGCTTGATTATGTGACTTGCTATGGCTAGTGGTACGTGGGCAGAAGTGAGAGGAGGCCAGTTCTGAGACTAGGACTTAAGAAGCATCACATATTTCCGCTAGTCTTCTTGCACCTTTACCATGGCGATGAGAACATGAGCTGGATTGCCCACTGGTCTAAGGAGTGGAGCCACTGGAGTGAATCCACAGGCCTGCAGTGATTCTCATGCCTCAGCCTCCTGAGTAGCTAGAGTATAGGTGCCTGCCACCATGCCCAGCTAATTTTCATATTTTTAGTAGAGATGGGGTTTCACCATGTTGACCAGGCGGTTCTTGAACTCCTGACCTCAAGTGATCCTTTCTTCCTTCATTCTTCTTTCCTTCCTTCCTTCATCCTTCCTTTGTTTTTCTTCCTTGTTCCTTCCTTCTTTCCTTCCTTCCTTCCTTCTTTCCTTCTTTCCTTCTATTTCTCTCTCCTTTAAGTCCCAAGCATGGCAACATATTTCTGCAGCCACCATGTCCTGCAGCAGAGCCACCCAGCCTTTCAGCAGAACCCCAGTTAACTCATGGACCTGTAAGCAGTCATAAATAATTATTGTTTTAAGCCATAAGTTTTGGAGTGGTTTGTTATGCAGCAATATCCAGCCCTTACAGAAATTGATACTGCAGTCAAATCCCAAAATATGTGGTATTCGTTTTGGGCCTAGGAAGCAGATAGAGGCTGAAGAAAGGAAACTGTTATAGGAAGCTGGAGAACTGTGACCTATGCTTTGTAGTAATAAAAAATCTGGTAAAACTGTCACCTGAGCCAACCTGGAAGATAGAAAATGTGCCTAATGAACCTATGAACTTGGGCAAGAAGATTGCCAGGCAGAAGGTTACAACTAGAAGACTGCAGCACATGTGATATAGTATAGCTTAGAGGAGAACTGGTCAGCTTGCAAGCAGAATTTAGAGGGAATATAGACAGCCCAAACTAGCTGGGTTGCCTTTTCAGCCAGTAAAAGACTCCCGAATAAAATACAACCTGGAGACAAAGATCAAGTCAAGGGTGTGGCCATTAAGACACAGCTTGGAAACAACCAACTCAGGGCACTGCCAGTTAAGCCAAGTCTCCAGGGTAAAGACCAGACTCCAGGAGAAATAAGATAGCACCCAGTCACTTCTCAAATTTTCGAATGCTTCAGAATCACCCGGAGGCTTGTTAATACAGCTACCTGAGCACTACCTTCAGAGATTCCAATTCAACAGTTACAGGAAAAGGCCCAAGAGCTTGTACCTTGAACAGGCTCCCAAGTGGTACTGATGTGTCTGCGAGTAGCCCTGGTCTAGGAAAGCCTTCCAGCTGCACAACCAGGTTCCTAGAAAACTTAAAGTCATAGGCCCACAACAACCTGTTATACCAATTAATAGGAACTATGGAGTGATAGAGAGAGAGGTATATCCCAAATGAATTTTGACATATGGATAGACTAGAATAAAATATGTTAAAAATTAGGCTGGGCGTGTTGGGTCATGCCTGTAATCCCACCTCTTTGGGAGGCTAAGGTGGGGGGATCATGAGGTCAAGAGATGGAGACCAGCCTGGCCAACACGGTGAAACCCCGCCTCTACTAAAAATACAAAAAACAGCTGGGCGTGTTGACAAATGCCTGTAGTCCCAGCTGTTGGTATTTAAGGTGCAAAAACTTGCCATTTTAGTCTACAGGTCTCCATGACATCCTGCAGATCAAATCAAGCCCTTTGGGGCCCAGGGATGGGGGTAAGGGCATTTGCATGTTGGAGGAAAGTGAATCGTAGGATCAAAGTGGTGCACTGTGGTGGACGGACTTGTTGGTCTTAATTCTTCTCTCTTCCCCATCATGCATCCACATCCTTGCTATGGCCTCACCCTGCCGCTTGAATTTAGAGTTGGCCCTGTGACTTACTATAGCTAATTGCAGGTATGTTTCAGTGGGTCCAGACTCTAAGAAATGTCATGTTTCCACTCACTCCATTGTGCCTCTGCCTTTGTCATAAGAACAAATGATGGCCATATTCCTGGTTCAAACAAGGTTGGAGACCTGTGGAACAGAGCCAGCTAGCAGACCCAGCAGACCCAGGAGATCCACAAGCCCAAAGCAGGGCCACCATGCGCAACCTCGACTAATCAGCTGAACTTCACATGACCCACAGATAAGTGATGGCTATTTTCAGCTACCAAGTTTTGAACTCATCTATTACACGGCAAAGGCTATCTGATACAATGGGGGAGAGTGCTGTCCTGCAGAAACCATCAACTAAGCCAATAGTTAAAACTGGAGCGGAAGTGGCACCTAAGCAAATGAAAAGATGCTCAATGGCATATGTCATTGGGAAATGGAAATATTAAAACAACGAGGAGATACCACTGCACACCTATTAGAATGGCCAAAATCCAAGACACAGCACCAAATGCTGCTGAGGATATGGAGCTACCGGATCTCTCACATATTGCTGATAGGACTGCAAAATGGTACAGTGCTTTGGAAGACAGTTTCTTACAAAGCTGAACATGGTCTAACCATACATCCTAGCAATCATACTCCTCGGTATTTCTCCAAATCGGTTGAAAACCTACAATCCCCCAAAAAACCCTCACGTGGAGTGCCTATTGCAGCTGTATCCATAATTGCTCAGACTTGGAAGCAACCAAGATGTCCTTCGATAGGGGAATGGGTAAACAATCTGCAGTACATCTGTACCACGGAATATTATTGTCAATAAAAAAAAAAGAGTTTTCAAGCCATGGCAAGATACGCATGCATATTGCTAAGTGAAAGAAGCCAGTCTGAAAAAAGATACATACTGTGTGACTGCAATGATACGACACTCTGGAAAAGGCAACACTATGAACTCAGTTAAAAAAATCAGTGGTTGCCACAGGTTTAAGGGGAAGAGGAATAGAGGAACAGGTAAAATACAGGGGACTTTTAGAGGCAGTGAAATTATTCTTTAAGTTGCTGTAATGGTGGCTACTTGCCATTATGCATTTGTTGAAATCACAGAACTATACAACATCAAGAGTGAGCCCTAATGTAAACAATGGACTTTGATTAATAAGAATGCATATTGATTCGTCAATAGTAGCAAATGTACGACCACACTAATATAAGATGTTAATGACAGGTGCAGCTGTGGAGGGGATGGAAAGGAAGTACATGAGAACTCTATATTTTCTGCTCAATTCTTCTATAAACCTAAAGTTACTAGAAAAAATAAAGTATATTTAAAAACTCAAAAAAAAAGGTAGGGGTGAACCCTATGCCGTCTTAAAATAAAAATGAAACTAAAGGTGGGGAGCAGAATTTAGCCAGCTGGGGAAAAGACGTGGAGAGCAGGGCACAATGGAATAAAAAATATTGCAGGCAAAGGGCGTGGCTAAGCAGGGGCTAAGGCGAGTGATGAGAGACCAGTTCTAGGGGCTAAAGAAATCTACCAGTGAGGAAACAACTCCCGGCTGCTGCCAGACCACAGGCCACGTGAGGAGGAGCCTCCCTAGAGGACTTCCAAAGCAAACCCACCCCCGCCAGACCAGGAAGAGCTTCCTACCTCCCAGAGAAACAGACCTCAGCCCTAATGATCGCACACATCCAAGTCAATCGCTCTCTTTTAAAAACGCACGCACATAGTCTACCCTTCCTTCCCTGGTCCTCTTGGCGACAAGGCAGTCACAGGACATATGTGTTCTTCACCAGGTGCTCCTCCTCGTCTCCGGAGCTCCAGATGGTGCGCAGGGCCGGCTCCTGGTTCCTCCGCGTCCACCGAGATCAAGAGGATCAGCACCATCAGGAACAGTCCCGCCAGAACCACCACCTTGGTGCCAAGCGGCAGGGAAGGATCCACCTGCTTGCGGAAGCAGCGGAGCATGCACGCCTCCTCAGAGAGGTAGCTGTTCTTATTGCCCCGGCACCCTCCATAGGTGAAGTTGTCGCAGGAGTTCCTCTCCACGTCAAAGTACCAGCGTGGGAAGGCCGCACGGCAAGCCCCAGTGACTGCCTTGGCGATGCAGTAGTCTTCATAGCTGAACATACCGCTGGAGTGGTCATCAGAGTCCTGCCTTCTGGGAGCACGTGGGACAGAGGAATCTGCTGCATTCCTGCGGTGGCCAGATCACCTGAGGCATTCTCTGTGACAGCAGCACATTTCTTGAGACACTCCTCCTTGCTCAGGTGATTATTGCTGTTTCCGTCACAGCCCCATACACAAACAGCTGACAGGATCCGTCAGTGACATTGTACCACCACCTAGGCATGGAGGCCCGGCATCTGCCCACCACCTTCGAAGCCAAGCAAAAGTCGTGGATGCCGCTTTCTCCGTCGGCCGCCAAGACCCGGGAGAGGAGCAGCGATGCCAGCAGGACTAGGAGCGCCCGGCCCCGCCTCGGCCCGCAGAGCTGGGCCATGGCCGGCTCCGAGACACTCAGACGCCGCCGCCAGGCGCCACCCGTTGGGGTCTCGCGATCACGTGCCAGAAGCCCCTCGCCGCGCACACGCACTGGAGTGCCTGGCCTTCAGGTGCAGGCGCTCTGGGAGGGTCCGCCAGGTGCCGAAGCCCCCAGCACTGCAGGGAGTGCGAAGGGATGGGGGGTGGATAGAGATGAGGCTCACAGGACACTGGACACCATGCTGGGGAGTTCTAATTTTATCCTGGGAGCAGGGGGGACATCACTCAATGGTTGTAAGAAGGGAGTGACCTGGAGATTTTTGCTTTAGGAAGAGCATTCTTGTCGCATTATGGAGAATCATGAGGAGAGAAAATAAGCCCGGAGGCAGGGAAGCCTTTAAGAGGCTATTGCAATAGTTCAAGTGCAGGGAGCTATTACTGTGCTCGTTATTTTTCATTTGAGCCTCCAGACCCACTCTGCTGTCTCTGCCCTACTTTATGCAGAGAAACGATTGTGATCAAGTTTCAGCAATTGTGGATGAAACTGCTGTAAACATTCGTGTGAGAATTTTTGTGTGGATATAAGTTTCCAACCCGCTGAAGACATGTCAAGGAGCATGATTGCTGGAATGTGTGGTAAGATCACGTTCAGCTTTGTGAGAAACGTCTGTCTTCCAAACTGCTGTACCTTTTGAATTCCCACCAGCAATGAATGAGAGATCCTGCTCTACACCTTCACCAGCAATTGGTGCTTAGTGCAGGAGGGAGGAGGCTAATGCCGGAGGACTGCATCTCCCGGGCTCCCTTTCCCTTTGGTGTCAGTTGGGTTCGGCCAATTGGAGGTACCGACAAGACTAGAAGACAGGAGGAGGAAGGGTGGGCGTATTTATCCCTTCACCCCAACTTTCCAGCTTCGGTGCTACACAAGCCACATCCTCATCCACACGCTCTCTTCACCACAGCAACCGCTGGGCGGCCAGGGCCCATAGCCTCTTCCATTGGCTCTCACTGGGTCTTGGAAAGGCAGTTTCCTCCCATTGCCCCCAGCCCTAGGAGGAGGAAGGGCATCCCTGTGCTTGTTATCCTGGTACCCACTGGCCCTTGCTTGTTCCATTCACCTTGCTACCCTTCTCAAATAGTCTCCTCATGAAAGTCTCTTCACTTCACCCATCTGGGGTGCATTCAGTTTTCTACCAGGCCTAACAGATACAGTTGTTATGGGAGTTATTAAGAAATTATTTTAGGCAGACAGGAAAAGGGGTCCTTGGGAAGTTTTTGTTTCTTTGAGAGCAGCTCCAGAAACGTTTCTTGTCTAGCAGGAAAGCCCCAGCTGTGCTGGCAGGCTTTGATATGCAAATGTAGGTTATTAGCAACTAGGTCCAGCAAACATGGCGATTCCCTCCCTGGTCCTCTTGCCCTTGCCCCAACATGTGCCTAGTAACATGGCCACCCCAACATATCCCGATGTGCGTTAAACACCATGGCGCCCTGTATTTGCATATTAAAGACGAGGGTGGGAAGGCCAGTTTTTCCGCGGGCTCCGTGAATGACGTGCCAGGTCAAACCAATCGTGAGCCCTATACAAATCAGACACCGCCTCCTCCAATTTCCTCCTTTAAGCAGCCACTTTCCTGCGCATGAGTTTCCTCTTTTGGCTTCGAACCCCTCTCCATCTCTGTATGGGGGAGCTTCTTCCTTCTTTCTTAGCTATTAAACTCTCCACTCCTTAAAACCACTCTGTGTGTGTCCATGTGTGTCCATGTCCATGTGGTTTTATCTAAATCAGCATGAGGCTAAGGACCCTGATGTTCCTCCCGTCACCAGACCCGTATCACAGTTGCCTTAACGTAAGCTGTGCTAGGAACAAACACCAGGAAACACCTGGAGATGAGGAAGACCTTCCACTTAAGCTTCTAAGACCGCTTCCCCTTAGCCTTCTACATTGCGTTTCAAAAGGAGAAGTAAAAGTTGAAAACAGAAGGCGCAAGTTCGGAGAGGAGAAAAAACCCAGCGCCACTAGCCGGACCTGGAGGTTAAAGATCAAACCCCCCACCCTAGTTCCTATCCTATCCATAGATCACAGGCATGGTGTGGAGGAATCTGCCCAGGAAGTCATTGTTCTTGCTTAATCACAATTAGATGACCCCTAAGTCACGTACCCCTTGCTTACCTCATTGATCACCATGACCCTCTCACATGTACCCTCTAAGACTGTGAGCCTTTAAAAGAGGCCAGGATTTTCTAGTCGGGGAGCTCGGTTCTCCACACGCGGGTTTGCCGAGACTCCCTGCCGAATAAAAAGCTACTTCCTTCACAAACCTGGTATCTGAGAGCTTCTGTCTGCGGCATGTCCTGCTACGGAGAGATGCTGCTCTTAGGCAATGAAATTGACAACGGGGCTTGGACAGAGCAGGGATGAGGGAGAGAAGTACAGGCAAGAAGTTGTGACAGATTATTGGATTTTTAGCCTAGTCCCCTGGGTTGACGATGATGCCATTTACTACCATAACCTTGGAACTGCTTCTAGATGCTGGGAGGTTTAGGACAAACCGCAATTATGGTGACTTTAACTTGAATATTAGTAAAAATTGTTTTTTGCTGGCATTTTACTTGTAAAAACATACAGTTCAATGATTCACTTCAGAGTCAGTAACTCTCTGGGCCTATTTAAAAGGTTTTCAAAAACATCTGTCCTCGATTAAACAACAGATACCACTTACAGGCCATGTCTGTTTTCAAGGGTTTCAGAGCAGTAATTAATCAGGCAAATGAAAAAGCACAGACCTCATCTTTTTATCCAATTAGGAGAAATCTCTGTGAGTCTCGGTCACCAAGCTGTTTGGTTTCGTCGAAATGCATTGTGATAAGTGACTGCTTTTATATCTTAGAAAATATCAATATTTACTTTAAACTTACAGTTAAACTAAAGGAAAACAAATTGATTAGTTAACTGCCACAGCACACATGAAGGCTGCTGTTGGGATGCCACCACACAGCACCACAAATGGGAAAAGAGGCACAAGACGATTTGTACTCTCCCCAGCTGGGGACATTTCTGGCTTTCTCTTCTTGTTTTTGATTTATTGTGTCCTGTCTGTTGTCCACATGGGATGCGCTTGTTTTCACCTCCACACCTTTGCCTGTAGATGCTAGACCATCCTCTTTCCTCTCTATCCCACGTGAGTTCTTCTCTACCTTAAAAATAGGTCAAGCAGGCCAGCTGTGGTGGCTCACGCCTATAATCCCAGCACTTTGGGAGACCAAGAAGGGCAGATTGCTTGAGTACAGGAGTTCAAGACCAGCTTGGGCAACACGGCAAAAACCGGTCTCTAAAAAAAAAAAAAAAAAAAAAAAAAAAATTAGCCAGATGTGGTGGTACATACCTGCAGTGCCAACTACTTGGGAGGCTGAGGGTTCAAGGCTGCAGTGAGCTATGATTGTGCCACTGCACTCTAGTGACGAGCCTGCTTCTTCACCCAAGCAAGCCAATTTAGTTAAGTGGTCTTCTTTTTAACACCCAAGGAGGGGCACATACAGTGGAGTTGTGGTCTGGGTGGGTAGAAGGAGGGGTTTCTGATGAGAGAAAAAACCGCTAGTTCCAAGTCTGAGGGTGTAGTGGCAGCAGTGGGAGTGATGGGCGGAAAGATTTAGCACCAGGCTTGATGGACATCCAGGCCAAGACCAGACTGCACTGAGGGCCAGGGAAACGGCTCTGGATGTATGCAACTAAGTCACAGACAGTTCAGAAAAATTTACATATATGTGTATATAAAAAGAGGAGAGAGAAATTTGAGCCCAGGAGTTCAAGGCTACGGTGAGCTATGATTGTGCCACTGCTCTCCAGCCTGGATGACAGAGTGGGACCCCATCTCAAGAAAAAAAAAGAACATGTCAAATACCAGTTCCAGGAAAACCCTGCCAGATTGCTACTACTTGAGTGTTCTTCCTTTGCTCAGCACCAGAAAAGCCATTCTCATAGTTAATTTGAAGTACCAGAATCTTGAAGAAATTAGATCATTACAGTCTAACAAAGTCAGCTGTAGGCTAATTGTTGCCCTATTTTCTAATTGACTTCCAGAGATAGTGAAAGATTCACCGAGGTGCAGGCCTGGAAGAGGTGGCGGAGGCCATGGAATCCAAGTCACTTTACCAATGAAAAGACTACCAGGCATGGTGGCTCACACCGGTAAT